TATTTTCAAGAGCCAGAGAGAGAGTGTGAGTGGGGGAGGGACAGAGAGAGAGGGAGACACAGAATCTGAAGCAGGCTCCAGGCCCTGAGCTGTCAGTGTAGAGCCCTACACGGGGCTTGAACCCCCCGACTGTGAGATCATGACCTGAGCCAAAGTTGGACACGCAACTGACTGAGCTACCCAGGTGCCCCTCATTTTTATACATATTTTTAACTCTCAATCTGAATTTCATAACTCAAAAGAGTTGCCACACAAGTGCCATCGTGCCCCGTAGTATATTTGTTTGAATGTGGAAAAAAGTGATAGTTTAGCACAAGTTAAATTATCAATCAATTTAGGAAAGCCCTTGAGTTGAATACAGAAGCATTTGAACAGAAAACTCTATATTCTTTAATGATGATAATTTTTGGTAATATATTTCAGAATAGAAGCTCCGCAGTGGATCCAGAACCACAAGTAAAATTGGAGGATATCCTCCCGTTGGCCTTTACTCGCCTTTGTGAACCTAAAGAAGCTTCCTACAGTCTCATCAGGAAATATGTGTCTCAGTATTACCCTAAACTTAGAGTGGACATCAGGTATGAGCCGTTGGCCTGTACTTCAAAGCACAGTTGTCTGTGTTATTCCCTTAGCCTCTTTTTCATGAGAAAGGTGAAAGTAAATATTCAAAAAGGATAACATTTAGCTGAGCTAAGGATAAAACCTTTTTTTGTGGGTTTTATTTATTTGTATTTTATTTTATTTTTTAAAGTTTATTTGGTTTGAGAGGGAGAGAGAGCATGGCCCGGGGAGAGGCAGAGAGAGAGAATCCCAAGCAGACTCCACCCTGTCAGCACAGAGCCTGACAAGGGGTTCATACTCCATGAACTGTGAGATGATGCCCTGAGCCAAAATCAAGAGTCAGATGGATGCTTAACTAGCTGAGCCACCCAGATGCCCTTGGGCTTTATTTTTTGTCTTGTTATATTTTCTTTTTCATATCTCCATTGTAGTTTCTTTCTGAAAACAAAAACAAAAACACAAAAAACACCTACATGTTAACTCTTACAAGACCTTGGTAGAATAATTCTTTCACTGCGTCAGCTGTTAGAACATTCAGCATTAAACTCAATGTCCTCTCAGCTTTCATTGTTAAAAAAAAATTTTTTTTTTTAATGTTTATTTTTGAGAGAGACAAAGCATGAGTAGGGGAGGGGCAGAGAGAGAGGAAGACACAGAATCCAAATCAGGCTCCAAGCTATCAGCACAGAGCCCAATCCCATGAACCACAAGATCGTGACCTGAACTGAAGTCAGATGCTTAATGAACTGGGTCACCCAGGCGCCCTAGCTCTCATTATTTTTTTAATTTTAATGTTTTTTTTTAAATTGTGTTAAAATACAGATAAACAAAATTTACCATCTTAACCATTTTTAAGTGTACAGTTGAGTGATATAAAATACATTCATGATGTGCTACCATGAGCACCATGTATTTCCAGAACTCTTCATCTTGTAAAATTGCAGCTCTGTACCCATTAAATAGGAAATCCCTTTCCCCCTTGGCCACCACCTTTCTGCTTTCTGTCTGTATGATTTTGGCTGTAAGTACCTCATGTAAGTGGAGTCATGCAGTCTTTATCTTTTTGTGACTGGCTTATTTCATTTAGCACAGTGTCCTCAAAGTTTATCCTTATTGTTGCATGTTAGAATTTCCTTCCTCTTTTAGGCTGAATAGTACTCTTTTGCTGTATGTACTCCATTTTGTTTATTCATCCTTCTGTTAATGAACGCTTGGGGTTTCACGTTTTGGCTCTTGTGAATAATGCTGCTGTGAACACTGATGTACTAATACTTCTTTGAAACCCTGCCTTCAGTTCTTTGGGGGTATATACGCAGAAGTAAAACTGCTAGATGAAATGATGATTCTAGTTTTTAGTTTTTTTGAGGAACTGCCATACTGTTTTCCACAGTGACCATATCATTTTACTTTCCTACTGACAGTATACAGAATTTCTGATTTCTCCATATCGTCACCAACCTGTGTGTGTTTGTTCGTTTAAGTTTTTTACTTATTTATTTTGAGAGACAGAGCTAGTGGCGAAGGGGTAGATAGGGAGAGAGAGAGAATCCCAAGAAGGGAGAGAATCCCTGCGCAAAGCCCAATGTGGGGCTCAAACTCACAAAACTGGGAGATCATGACCTGAGCTGAAACCAAGAGTCTGACACTTAATTGACTGATCTACCTAGGTGCCCGTTTTTTGTTTGTTTTGTTTTTAGCCATCCTTAATGGGTGTGAGGTGATTGATACGCATTTCTTTTAAGTTTTTGTTTTTTGAGCTAGAAAGTGCAAGTTGGGGGTAGGCAGGGCAGAGAGGGAGAGAGGATCCCAAGCAGTCTCTGCACTGTCAGCGCGGAGCCCATGCAGGACTTGAACCCATGAATTGTGGGACCATGACTTGAGCTGGAAGTCGGATGCTTAACTGAGTGAGCCACTCAGGTGCCCCCACATTAAACTCTATTTTATTAATTTAGAGTTTGAAACATAAGAGAATTCAGGTTTCTGTAAACCTCTAGAGAAAAATAATGTAATATCCTAATTTAAACATTTAATGTAAAATTCTGGCAGAATTTTGGTAGTAATTCAGTTCTAAAAAGTTGCCACATAAAAATATCTACACTGATCATTGAGACATTTGTGCAGATACATTAATTTGTTTAAATTTGTAATTCACAGAGTTTGTGTTTTGAGTGTGTTTATGTGAGATCTTTGTTATGATGGATGACTTTTGGAAAATTGTCTTTAATCCAGTGATTTCTACAGATTATTTTTATATCGAATGCATATTGTCTTGATATTGTTCAGTAACAGTATTTACTTGCATTACTGAGGGAAGCAGTTAGAATTGCTGAGGCTTTAGCCCAGAAGCCACATTTTCAGAAAAGCACTTAGTGGTCTTCAGAGTGCCCAAGGAGAGTCAGTGAAATAGTGCAAAAGAAAAGGGAATCATAGAAGCACAAAGTTTGAAATTAATGTCCTGGTTTTTGTATGCTTTTTCTGCCCTGAGTGTGACCCACATATACAACCGTGAGCTAGAAATGCATTTAAATACACATTTCACTTTTCTCTCTCTTCTCTCTCTGGTGACTGGAGACCATTATCTTCTCCCAGCTTTTTCTTTCCTTGCCTTTCTACTGTACTCCCACCAGACAAGTTGTTGATAGCAGTGTAACTTCGTTACATGTCTAATCTTTATGAACATTTCTGATCTTACGTTGAAACAATATTTTCCTGATAATAGATGGGTTATCAACTCATAGGTGATAATGAACCTAGAGACCTTTTCCTGTGACCTTGTTAACAGTAACTTTTTTTTTTTTTCTTTCTCCGTTTACTTCTCTAAAACTATTGATTTTCTCTACCACTGACTGTCAGGGAGTCCTGTCATACATACAATTAACATGACAATTTGGCCATACTTAATTTTAATTTTAGTTTTTGAGAGGGGGGTGGGTGGGGTACACAACTGACCAAGGGGCAGAGAGGGAGAGAGAGAAGCGGGGCTCACCTAAAGCAGTAGGGCTCAAGCTCACCTGATGTGCTGGTCTGTTCTATTTATCCCACACCTCCATCTAATCTGTAAGCAGTTACTTTGGATTTGGTATTAGGATATATCCATAAACCTCTTCTCATTACCTCCACTGTTACTACTGTTCCAAGCCACCATCATCTCTCAGTTGTTTTAGAGCAATGACTTCCTAACTCCTCTCATGCTCCCTCTCCTTCAGTCTGCTCTTAACCTAGCAGTGAGGGTGAAACTTGTAAAAATGTAAGTTAGATCGTATCGCCTTGCTACTCAAACCTTCCTGTGGCTTCCCAGCCCCCTTACAGATAGAGCCAGTGTCTCTAAAATGGTATGTGACATTACGCTTCCATTGTGTCTTTGACCTAATCTCCTACTACTTTTCTCTCACTTAGCTGGCCTCAGAGTCTGTATGCTTGCTGTTCCCTTTGCCTGGCTGGTTTTCCCCATAATCTACTTTGCTCACGCCTTCACTCCTCTCAGGTTTTTACTCTGATGTCCTCGTTAGAGTGCCTTGACCCTGCCTTGACTGCCTTCCTTTTTTGTAATTGTTTTATTTTGGAAACTTTCAAACATACACATAAATGTAAAGAGAACAAACCATCGTACTAACATTTCCGACAAAATCCTAAGCATTATCCAATACATAGGCCATGGTCACATGTCCCCAGTTGTCTCCAAAGTGACTTGTTAAAGTTAGTTTATTTTTGAGAGAGAGGGAGTGGGGGAGGGGCAGAGAGAGAGAGGGAGAGAGAGAATCCTGAGCAGGCCCCATGCTGTCATCGCAGAGCCCAACGAGGGGCTCCATCCCACAAACTGTGAGATCATGAATGACCT